TTACATCTAAACATTGGAACAAGGCCCAACAGAATTACTCTACTATTAAAAAGGAAGTGTTGGCCATTGTTCTATGCATTTCAAAATTCCAATCTGATTTGTTAAATCAAAGATTTTTAGTCCGGGTTGATTGTAAATCAGCCAAAGATATTTTACAGAAAGATGTAAAAAATTTAGCATCAAAACAAATTTTTGCTAGATGGCAAGCTATTTTAAGTGTTTTTGATTTTGATATTGAATTTATCAAAGGCACCTCAAACACTTTACCTGACTATCTTACCCGTGAATTCCTACAGGGCAAGACAGAATGAAATGACGCCAAAATTAAGGCTTCGATCATCCTCTTCCAGGGGAAGGGGAAGGGGAAAAGGATTAATTTTGGGCAAGCCAAATCGCCCAGAAAAATCATCATCCTCTACAGAGGATATCCAATCAATCAAGGTCTGCTCCGAGACCTCTAGGAAAGGGTCATCTACCCAAGCTGAGTCATCTACTCAGTAGAATACTTGAACCAAGAGTTGTTTAGACTTGGAGGGTCCATAATACTCAATGCTAGCCTGAATAGGTTGATAAGAAGATACTAGCGTTGATGAGTGAAGTCAACGGGCTAGAAGTGGTCAACAATACTTTTATACTTTATTGAATATCTATTGGAACCCTTCAGTTGAAGGAAACTAGAAGTAGCCCAGTTGAGCGAACCAGTATAAAAATGATTGCATTGTTTTATTTATATTTCAGACGCAAACTCTTCTTAATTGTCAAATCATGTTGAAAACTTCGTCTACTGTCTACTCTTCATTAAAACCATTTTTCAAACGAAGACGCAAATTTTGTTTAACAAATATATTATACTGAAAATTTTTATCTACTGCTTATCCTTAAATGAAACTATCTTGGAAAGGAAAATGCAAGAACTTCAATTATTAGTATAAACCATTTCCTTAGCAGACGATAAATCTTTTAGACACAATGACCTTGTATTAAGCAAACTCTGCATAACCGTATGGTATTTAAAAGTGCATTGGACGAAGAACGTTGAGACACTATTTCCATAGCTACGAGGTGGTAATCCGAACCGACCATCCGATTTGACAAGTCTTACAGAAACCCGACCTGGCAGGCTGAATGATGAAGTGGTCGGTCGAGCTATCAGAGTTCTCCATCAAGTATGAGCCGAGAGGAGCAATCAAGACTCAAGCCTTAGCCGACTTTCTAATGGAATTGACCCCTCCTGTCGAGGAGGGTGGTGTCGGAGAAACTCAATGGATTCTGTCAGTGGATAGTGCTTCGAATCTAGGAGGAAGTGGGGCTGGAATCGTCTTGGAGGGCCCGAGGGAATACTACTGGAGCAGTCATTACGATTTGAGTTCCGGGAAAGCAACAACCAAGCTGAGTACGAGGCATTGTTAGCAGGTATGAGTTTGGCAAAGGAGATGGGGGCGACAAGTTTATCGGCTCAGAGTGACTCCCAGTTGATCACTGGGCAAGTCGATGAAACTTTCCAGGCAAAGGATTCTCAATTGGCTAAGTACCTGGAAAAGGTTAAGCTTTTATCGGAAAACTTCCGAGAGTTTACACTTAACCATGTACCCCGAGAGCGAAATTCACGAGCGGATCTCCTCTCTAAGTTAGCAAGCACAAAGAAGCCAGGGGCCACTCGTTCGGTTATCCAAGAAACCTTAGCCCAGCCAAGTATTAATGAGCCATAAGGAAGTGTTCTTTTCATCCAAGAAGAGCTCGATTCATGGATGGGACCATACATTGCATACTTGACTCGGGGGGAGTTGCCAGAGGATAAAAAGGAGGCGTCATTGATACAGAGAGAGTCACCTAGGTTTGTAGTCATCAACAAAAGGTTGAATCGAAGGGGTTTCAACTCTCCCCTTTTGAGATGTTTGACCACATCACAAGCGCAGAGAGTGATGGAGGAAGTACATGGCAGCATGTGTGGAAGTCATATCGGAGGATGAGCTCTAGTATACAAAGTTGCGCGAGCAGGGTACTTTTGGCCGACTTTGATAAACGACTGCGTCAATTGGGTCCAAAAGTGTGATGGATGCCAAAGACACGCAACCTTGCACCATTCCCCAGCTGAACGACTTCACTCAATCCTGTCTCCCTGGTCGTTCAGCAAATGGGGCATTGATATTCTCGGTCCATTTCCGATTGCAGTAAGACAGTTGAAATTCTTGATAGTGGCTGTAGACTACTTCAGCAAATGGATCGAGGCGGAGCCAGTAGCAACTATTTTGGCAAAGAAGGTAAGGACATTTCTATGGAAGAATGTGATATGCAGATATGGCGTTCCTCAAGTGCTCGTATCAGATAACGGGACATAATTTGCGAGTGGGAGAGTCCCCGATTTTTGTCAAGAGATCGGAATCTGAATGACATTTACTTCCGTTGAACACCCCCAGTCTAACGGCCAAGCGGAGTCGTCCAACAAGGTTATACTCTCGGGACTGAAAAAGCGCGTCCAAGACTCAGGCACTTCATGGGTGGAGGAGCTCCCCGAGTGATATGGTCATATCACATGACTGTTCATTCATCGACCCAAGACACCCCTTTCAATCTAGTGTATGGGACAAACGTGATGATACCGATTGAAGTCGCCGAACCCTCGGTACGTACCACATGCTTCTCTGAGGAGGAATCCGAATAGGGAAGGCGAGTTGATTTGGATTTGATCGCGGAAACAAGAGAGAGAGCAAGGATAAATCAAGTAGCAGCGCAGCGAAGGGCAGCTTTCAAGTATAATACAAAAGTCGTCCCAAGAGACTTTGTGGTATCAGATCTCGTTTTGAAGCGCGCTCAGCTGACTCAAATGAGAAACAAGCTGTCACCTAAATGGGTCGGCCCTTACAAAATTGATGATGTGGTCGGCAAAAGAGCTTACCGACTGAGGATCCTAGATGGAGGGAAGATACCGAGAACTTGGAACGTTGCAAACTTATGTTTCTATTATAGTTAGTCTTTTCATTTGTATCAGGTGCACTCTTTTTCTACCTCAGCATTTTTTTCCCGTAAAAATGAGAGGGGTTTTTTTGCTGAGAAGGTTTTTAATGAGGCACCACAAACCAATAATTTCTCAATCCTAATAAATGTTATCCCTTACTTTTCTTATATGATTTCTAACATGTCTTATTTTAAAGGCACAAAAACTCGTGATTTTTGGTAAAAATCCAACTGGGCGAGTATAAATAACTCAAAGACCAAACTCGTGATTGATCGGTCAAAATCTGACTGGGCGAGTATAAATAACTCGAAGAAAAACTCGTGATTGTCGGTAAAAATCCGACTGGGCGAGTATAAATAACTCGAAGCCAAACTCGTGATTGATCGGTCAAAATCCAACCGGGCGAGTATAAATAACTCGAAGACAAACTCGTGATTGTCGGTAAAAATCTAACTGGGTGAGTATAAATAACTCGAAGCCAAACTCGTGATTGATTGGTCAAATTCTGACTGGGCGAGTATAAATAACTCGAAGACAAACTCGTGATTGTCGGTAAAAATCTGACTGGGCAAGTATAAATAACTCGAAGACCAAACTCGTGATTGATCGGTAAAAATCCGACTGGGTAGACTTTCAAACCCTTTCAATTATTTAATCGGATTTTAGAAGACAACGTTGCTAAACATTTTAGGCCGGAATTAGGACGTGTAATCCCATTCAGGAACGCCTTTTCAACTCAAGTACTTTGCAGAACTCGGCATTTGCCCGATCAGTTCTAGAAAACCTCCAAGTTTTTAAACTCAAAAAATTTTAATTTACTCAATCGGAATTTGGGCGATTAATTTCGATTAAAAACACCAGTTTTTAAATAGAATATATTTTTACCTCTCTGGTCAAGGCAATCAGATTATGGCCGATTACTTCGGTTTAAAAATACCAATTTTTAACTTAGAACATATTTTGCCTCTTTGGATAGGGCAACCAGAATTTTGACGATTCATTTTAGTCCAAAGACCTCATTTTTAACATTTGAATCGGCATTTGGCCGATTCAACTCATTGTTGTAGTCGGAACCTGGGCGAATTTCTTTGTTAAAGTTTATTTTAACTTAGAAAATTTCCATTCAACATTGGAGTCGGAATTTGGGCGATTCAACTCATTGTTGTAGTCGGAACATGGGCGCTTTTCTTTGTTAAAGTTTATTTTTAACTTAGAAAATTTCCATTCAACATTGGAGTCGGCATTTGGGCGATTTACTTTTTCAAAAATTGGAATTTGGGCGAATTTCTTTGTTAAAGTTTATTTTTAACTTAGAAAATTTCCATTCAACATTGGAGTCAGAATTTGGGCGATTCAACTCATTATTATAGTCGGAACATGGGCGCTTTTCTTTGTTAAAGTTTATTTTTAACTTAGAAAATTTCCATTCAACGTTGGAGTCGGCATTTGGGCGATTTACTTTTTTAAAAATCGGAATTTGGGTGGCTTTCTTTGTTAAATTTTATTTTTAACTTAGAAAATTTCCTTTCAATGTTGGAGTCGGAATTTGGGCGATTTACTTTTTCAAATTGATTTTAAACTTGGGTGATCTTATTTATCCCCTCAACATCACACGATTTAACTATAATCGGCATGTTATCAACTACTTCGCACACATCGAGTCATTCAACTTATATAGCAAGGAAAATTCACAAATTTCATAAATTCGGAAAATATCACAATTGTTCTTAAAGACAACTAACAACAAACAGAACCGTTAGAAACAAGTGCAAATTAGAGGAACCAATCGTCCTCTGGTGGATCCACCAACTCTCCATCAATGATCTCCTTGAAGTACCCGATGCCTCCCAGATCCAGGTTGGCATGAAGAAACTTCACTTGCGTGGTGGCCGCGTCAAAACCTACTGTGAACTTCTCCAAAGCCTCTACCTTAGCAGCATGAAGTTCGGCCTTCAAATTCTCAAATTGGGTTTTAAGGGTGGATACATCAGTTTCAAAAACTCGGGCAGCGTCGGCATTCTTGTCCCGAGCAAGTCGAGTCTCCTCAAGTTCTTTCTCCATTCCCGCCTTTTCTTCTTCCCAAGCCTTTTTCTCCTGCTCCAATTCTCGGCGACCCTCAAGGAGCTTGTCTCTCTCGTTGGTCACCCACTTCAAATCAGCTCTTCCCTTGCTTAAGTTTTCCTCCAAGCTGCTCATCTTTTTCCCCTGAAGCTTCAGTTCTCGTGTCAGGCCCCGGACTTTGTCTTCGTTAAATAATGAAAGGACGGAGAGTCGATTGGTCAGGGACTCGATGCCTTTCACAATGGAGAAGGCGCTCATCTTCTCCAAGTCTTCCTTGTCGCCCTCCAACAAGTCAGTCCCACGAATATGGCCAGAATGGTTGAACTTCGTCCCAGAATGAAGCACTCTTCCCCCTTTCGGCGCCGCATTCTGTGGGATCCCAATCCTCACCGAGACATAAGCTCAAGGTCCTTTTCGGCTGATTGAACCTCATTCTCTTCATTTCCTACATTTTCCTCAGTGGCAACCAGAGTTTCCAGATTCACGACCGAGATTGACCTGTCGGTCTCTCGACGACGCTTAAGCGAGGTTGTGCCAGCCTTCTTTTGAAGAATAGGATCTCCAGACTCCCCCACTCTCTCGGCCACCGATCCCTCAACCCCGACAGCTTTGGATGCCACTTGTTCTTTCCACAGTTTCCTCAGCTCTCAGTTACTCATGCTGGCCATTTTTTCTGCAACCATTTCAACAATAAACAACATATTCACAATTGAATTTAATTAAACAAGGCAACAACAATAATCATAAGAAAATCTCAAGTACCTATGTAAGTTTTCAATTCAGAAGGCCTATTTTCTAAGTTTAGAAGTTTGGTAGTGTTGAAGATGGTTTTGAGGTCTTCAAGTTTTCTAGCCTCCTCTCGATCTTTTTCCGACAAGGCCTCAGCCTCTAACCCCTTTATAGACGTCGGTTTCTGATCGAAGTCGTATCCGGTCAAATAAAAACAATTAAATGTAGTACTAGGAAGTTGTCCTAGGTCGTCTCTCAAGGACCATTTTTCTCTGTCAAAGGCTTAAACACACGAAGTGGGGGGGGGGTTTGGTTGTTCAGATTTTTAATTTTATAACACAATAAAATGCAGATAACACAATAAGTAAAATAGATTGGCTCCTTGTTCGGATTGTAACTCTCTTATCCTTGGTTCATAATAAGATTGCTCTGTTAACCACTTAATCCTTGTTCCATCCGAGTTAACCAACTAAGCGAAGATTAACTCAAGATTTCCCTACACGAATTAAGCAAACGTATACAACATCAACCTCTTCACAGATTAAGCAACTGTGTCATTAAGCATAGCCCATTAAGCATGGACATACTAATATAGAGGTT